TTTAGTGAGCCTTTTTTTTAGCCTTTTAGTGGATTTACACATCACAGGAAACACAGGAGGCAACTTCGCCAACGCAAGGACATGTGACACCATTTATTACATAGCAACACTATCAGTGCCAGCAACAGTACATGATTTCAAATGTTTGTCCTGGTAAGAACTGCTTTTCAAGATTCAAAGCAAAGCAAAGGATCATTTTCAAGGCAAGCAAAGCAAAGCAAGAGCTCGGAGGCCAGCGAAACTCTTTACTTTCACACAGTTACACACAATCACACCTAAGCAGTCCAGGCAGTAGCTGTTAAAAGGTAGAGTACACGCAGTGTTGCAGAATTACCGTAATATTTCTAATGGAAATGTTAATTCATTGGACTCGTAAATGTAAACGTTATCTGCTAAAGCTGTACTTACCGTGTCATACACAGATAGAAACTAATATGTTTACCATATCATAGGGAAACATAATCCACTTGCCGGATAAATTAGCAAGTTAACGCATGGGAAAAGTACAATTATTTTTTGGATTTTGAGCCACCTATGTGGCTTTGTGGAAAGTTTGGGATTAAAGTGAACAACTCATTTATAAAAGAATATCAATAGAAATATATGAATCAAAACTCATTTAGCATGCTTAATCCCATAGCCGCGGGAAGTAGGGGTGCTGGGGGTGCTGCAGCACCCCCTGTTGGCGAGTGGTATATTTGAAAAACTGAGTGACCACCTAAATAAAAATGATTAAACTACATAAAATAGTTATGATTTTACTTAAAATAAAATTAGCTGTATACAGTAGCATATAATAGTCATAGTATATATTGTATATATCAGGTGGCTTGAATTTATTTTCCAAATAAATAAAATCCGAGTCATCTAGGTCGTAGGTCGTGGGAGAGTGACGTAATTGACGCAACACACACACTGCAGAGTGACAACTTTATAGAATGGCGCAAACAAGGATTTTGGATTTTTTTCTCCAACAAACAACCCAATAAAAAGAGTGGACCACCAGCTACTCCTCAGCCCACCACCTCTACAACTAGAGTAATATGACACAGAAGAGACTGACACATCTGACTTTGATGCATGTCCATAGTAACATTTTGGACAATGTGGATGTATCTGCTCTAATGAGGGTCTTCATTAATGCCACCCCAGGCTACATTTGGAGTTTTGTGAAGCCCCAACACAAGGTAAGACGATATTTGTCCTTTAATGCTGCTACCGCTGTGCAGTGTTTTGCCTTGTCAATCAGTTAAAATTGAATTCATAGTTTTATTAATATTGTAAATAATATTTTCTGACTATTTGTAATGTTATGTAGGTTTGTAAGACCCATAGTTAGCATGTGGGCATGTGCAGCTGTTGCTAAGTGATGTAGGTCTATAATGGTTTATTAAGCCTAGTTAAGGCGAGACACCCCAGGTGAATAGGGTCATTTATCCAGTTAATTACCTACAATAAGGCAATTGTTTCTTATATTACAAGTTTTCTGAATATGCAAATGGTCCATTATCTCATTACATTTGTGCATATTTTAATACATTTCAGGAACCGAAATCTGAACTTTGGATAAAGCCAGGTTAAAAATTCTCGTTTCATTTTGTAGTCATATTAGCATCTAAGGCTTTTACAGAAGGGATTTTGGATATCTCTTTTTATCACTCCATAAAATCAGAAAATACTGTCAACAGCCCTAAAATATCAATTTTCGCCATGTTTCTAGGTATAACATCTTATATAATTCAGGCTATGAATGATATATGAACAAACCCTTTAGTAAAAGTCTTCATAATATTGATAGGAATATAACTGGAAGGTTTGGTGTATGTAAGTGCAACTGAAGTGGACATTTCTGACTCAGAGTAGGAGAAAAAAACTCATTTTGAGAAAATGACCTTAAAGATTGCAGTGAGGCGCGAGCTAAACCCTCCTTGTTCTTTTGGATGACAGCTTGCGCCTCGACGCACTCCGTGAAGGTATTTCATGTTCGGGGGTAATTTGTTTTTTTTTATAACCTTGCTTCATGCAAGTGACAATTGTTTGTTGTCTTCTCTGTGAACGTTTTTTTCGCCGTTCTTTTGCCATTTTGAGATTTAAATTTCTAGCGGAAAGCTAACCAGGAAGTGTTTTAGCACATCACGTGACGCATCTGAACGAATTCACGTTGTCAGAAGTTGACACCCAGCCAATGAGATTTCGTTTCTTGGTTAAGACCCTTTTGTACTTTCACGATTGGTTGCTGACACAAAGGAAATGACCATATTTGGATCCGATGAGATTGTGCAGGAGAGACGGAGCTTTTCCAACGATGACATTGTTGCAAACAGCGGTCGCGTACTTTATGTCACGTTAGAAATGCTAACTTTTGGTGAATTTAGGAGAAATATACAGATGCAAATAGACAAACTATAGTAAAATGAACACTTAATGTGTATTTTGTACGTTTTCCTTCCAAAAGCCTGAAAGAAAACATGTTATGGAATCAAAATAGCACAACATCTCAAAATTGACCAGTGCATGAAAAACGATGTTTTGCCTGCCGTGTCTCGCCTTTAACAAACAATTGATGCGGCTTGTATCGCTTAAGCGGCTCCCTCCCCACTTTTGGCAGCACCCCCTGAGCAAAATGACTTCCCGCGGCTATGCTTAATCCTCATACATCTCACGTGTTAACAGCTAGCTAGCTAGCTAGCTAGCTAGCAAAAACTAGCAGAAGGTGCTCCCATGTAAACACATTATTAACTGTGTACTTTACTCTATTAACTGCTTAATTCAATCGGAATTAAACCTAAATACATTAAACCGAGACGTGACATTATTTGTAGCGTTTTTGTTTTATTTACACCCCCCACACAAATAAGTAACTATTAATAAAAAAGGTATGACTTTTATAGAGTTAGCGTTAACTCCCCTCTGAAATGTCCAACCCTACCGTATGTATGATTCACTTCTTAATTCTTCCCACCAACATGTTCCCAGCCAGTCTGGGCAGTCTTCACTCACAACACTGCTTCTCTAACCTTGTTTAGGCCACTGGTTCCCAACCTTTGGGTCACAAGCAGGTTTAGTTAGATGTTCCCAGTTTACGTCGGGATACATACAAAAAACATTCATACAAATTATTTCTAATGTCTACTTGGAAGATAGAGCTTACTTCTTCTTGTGATATACTTAGTTATTAAAGAACCTAATACTGTAGTTCCCTGCCTCTAGATTATTCTCTTATAATTCATTAAATAAAGCATACGGAAGAGGAAAAACTGGTTGAGCTGTTTACCACTCTGCATTGGCAGCATGTCACGAGAGATGTCAGTAGGCATTACTTTTAAACTCAGACATTATGATTTAAAACAAAGTTGACAACATGCTATGATGAAGAAATCAGCTCTAAGCTGCCAGGATGCATTAGTAAATGGAACGAAGGGCTCAAGGGGCCCCGAAGTCAGACGCATTAAGTGACATTTCTTATGGGAAAGGCAAAGGGCTCAGTCAAAAGGAGGGTTATCATGTTTTTTTTATGAAATACTAACTACTATATGTCTCTCTGGGTGAGTACTCAATTATTAAAATAAATGATACGTATGTCAATGCTATGACCTGTTTGCCCTACTTGACATTCACCAACAGATCTGAGGCATTTTAGAAAATGGGGCAAAAACCACTGCAGTGCACTGCAGTAACAGCAGAGCTAGCAAATACTTAAAGTCTCACATAACCCCAGGTCAAAGTCATTGGAGTAAGAGGGGGGAGTTTCAAAGACACAAAGTCAAAGGTGTTTTAATGTAGTGAAGCTTAACAATCTGTCAAGCTGACTAATCCTCTTTGGCTCATTTTGAATCAAGTGGAGAATGTGACGCAGCGCTAACAACCCAGAGCCTCTCAGTGTCCCTGAGACACAGGCCGAGACCAAATATCTGCATTCTTACCAGAGCACTCAGAAACACTCACTGCTCTTAGGTTCATCCCCTAGCAGCCAACCATAATAATATCCTATGCATCAGTCGGCAAACACATCAACACATTCCAGCCAGCTAACGTCACATTTATTTATCAAACTCATGCTCTATGCTCTACTCCTGATTCATTATGTTCTCCATTGGCAATGTAGCATTCATGAACCCAGCCCTAGTCACATGGTGTCGCTAAATAGATAGTTTTCTTCTTACTTCTGGAGATGAAACCATAGAGATTGATCCCCAAGGTCTGCAATTTCCCTCAGTGTTTGAGCGTTTTAACGTCTTTGAGTTAATTGTTTTTGCTTTCCGGCCGACAACTTTAAGAATTTGGAACACTAAATGTACTTTTCTATTAGTGTAATCTTTGTGTGAACCAGGCAGCAATTTATAGCAGAACAACATCTGTGTAACAACCTAGCAGCTTAATTTGCTTGTGCACATTATGGAGCATTTCGTATACAGTCAAACAGTGGTTGAGACCAAACCCAGAGCTAAAAGAGCATGAATATGGACTAACATTCATCAGGTGGGCTGAAACCTGTCTGCAAATGAATGTTATGTGGCAACTATTTGGCTTGTAAACTTAAAAGGTAATAACATTTTAGCGTTTACAGCGTGTCTCCACTGGTCCCAAGTGATCAAAAAATAGCAATTGTCGCATAAAGTCTGCATTTAGCTATTCACTTACTTTCAGCTGATGACATTCATTATTTTTCTGCAAGTGGAACTATAGCGAGTTGCTGCAGTGTCCCTTTAACCTTAATAATACACTAGAATCACCCCAACATGCCTTCAGAGGATGTTAAGCATTCAGTCACATTGGCCGTTAAGCAAGGACATCCAACAACCACTATATAGTATAAGAAAGCTCCCTCACTGAGATGAGCTGAAACCAGATCAAATATTGCATTACAAATTACAATAGGATTAAGGATTAGAAATGTAATGAATCCAAACAGCCTACAAATTAAAATGTATTTCTGATTGTTGCCCACAACAGCAAACTGCATTTCCACACAGAAATGTACCAGGACAAAACGCGAACTACAGAGATAGTCGTCCACCAAAATGTGAAAAATGGTAGAAACAAAGATTGTTTGATTTTAGATCAATCAAACTTAAAGATAGGCACCTAGTCTCTAAGGAAGGCTTCTTTGAAGTGCATCCACATAACTCAAAACACACGGTCTTCACTCAGGGAGCAATATCAAGTGCAATATCAAGTACACACACACACACACACACATCACACCAACTACAGCACACACATACAACACACACAACACACAACATCACACACACACAACACACACAACACATCACACACACACACACACACACACAAACACACACACACACACACACACACACACACACACACACACACACACTACACACCACACACACACACACACACACACACACACCACACACACCACACACACACACCACTACACACACACACACACACACACTACACACACACACACACACACACACACACACCACACACACACACACACACACACACACACACACACACACACACACACACACACACAACACCACACACACACACACTACACACACACACACACAACACACACACACACACACAGGGGGCTGTAATGAAACAAGGCCTCCCTATGTGCGACTTGGCTGCTCCATGAAAGAGTAACATTAAGTCCCGTCCTCTCCTGGGCTGGCAAGGACATTCCTGAGATAACTGGCAGTTCCTCGCAGCTCCAAGGAGACACCGACGCAGAGGGAGCAGGACGGTGGGTCAGCAGATCTGGGATCAACAACAATCTGACCTACACAACTAGAATACTCCGATATTTGATAACATACAGCCTTTCCGAGTGGTTTCTGCATATTACAAATTCTGTACCACGTTCCATGAACAGATGAAAGTGGGGCTCTTATCAAATGTTTAGATAAGAAAGGCTCTCAACATTATTCTGTGGGGGCTGATAAATATTCCAGCAACAACTTCAAGGTCTGGTACAAGCATGTGCAATAAAATGGCACCCATGAAACTATAGTTTTACAGGCCTGTTTTAAAGTTATGAAAAGAAGACCAAAGCTTTATTAATCTACAGCATGTCGGGGGTCTGACAGCCCCCTGCTGTGAGCCTGCTTGCAGCCACACAAGGGGCCGTAACATATTACCACCCCCTGAGGCTCATGCATTTATTCTGTTAGCGTGTTCAGGCAGAGAGAGGCGGAATCAGCACAAACCTTATGGAATTGGCTGACTTGGTGAGTGCCACCACCCAACAACAAAGCCTTTCTGGAACACCGATTTTAGCTCGTTAATAGAAGATGGAACCTAATCAAGAGTGTAAAAACGGAGCCCTTCCCAGTTAAAGAAATACTTGCGTTGTGGCTGCATTAAAACGAGTTTACCTCTCCCTTTTGCACATCACTAAGACCCTTGTGCTTCGCTCATGGTACCTCATGGGGAAAGATTGATGTTGCGATCAGCCGGTAAAAAAACCTGTTCCCAATTGTGAGTCCCCAAGGGGAAAGCATACCGCATGCTGAAGCGTGTCAAGGCAGAAGGAAATTAGACACAGACAGACACAAATGCATAGAAATATGACACTTTCTTGTGTCTACAAAGACAGAGATTTCACGTCACTCGCATATTTCCTGAACAAGGTACCTGAGAAGGGGCTGAGCCTCCAGGGAGCATCTACCTGGGCTGCTCTGAGGAGAGGACTTTGTCAACAGCAAAACACTGGAGGCATACAACACAGGCCCACGGGCACGCTTTCCATTTAACACAATCAATACACATTTTGCATCCACATGTCATTCTGTGGCTATTTTGATGTGTGTGGGAGAGGGACATTTGGTATTTGAGCCTTTGCAGACCATTTACATGCACTAAAAACAATAAGACATTTGGTCCAAATTGTGCAGCCATAATTAAACCAAGGACAAATGGCTATTGTAACTGGAGTATCAATTGTAACTTTAATTCTTAAAGTCTCAAGTGTTGACAGTGTCTTCTCCTTTGTTATATTCCTCTGGATCATGGTTTTGGCTACCCGAGCAGGACTGAGCTGGAACAGACACGCCTTTTGTAAAGAGAGGAATGATGCAGCAAGGACACAGAGGGAGGAGGACACATATAATGGAGTAATAGAGGGAGGAAGGGTGTGGTGAGGGTGAGATCTGAGCTTCTTCCAAGCAGATGGGTGTTAACTTGACAGGCTGGTTAGAGTGTGTATTAACTCTTCTGCCAGTAATCCTGAGGGAATTATATAAATGAAAGTCTTATACTGCAAAAAGTGTATAAGTAGATACCTGAACTTGGCAAAACATTAACTTGCCGCTGCATAGAACTGTCAGTTCAGGTTGTTTACCTAATTTAATCCATGTGTATCTTTATTTTAAATGCATGTGTTTATGTGATTTAGATGATTAGTTGCTTTAATATAATGTATATATTATTATTTATATATCTTTAGATTTACTCATGTTAACATTTTGGGGGGAAATTCTACTTTGTAACATGTTGAATGTAGAGTATTCAAACCCCAACTCACTCAGTCAAAATTAAATGATACAAAACTGAGTTAAGTTCAGAAACACAAGCACTTCACTGCAACGCAGCTGCACGCTGTCTGCGCTTCTGTGATTCACCTAAAGGAGCCCTGAGCTGCCCTACCATAACTTGACCTACTACATGTTATAGTTGCTATTGTACATGCACCTATAATGGAAAAATACAGGTTCATAAATATATCAAAATACAAAAGTCATGGTACAAAATACTAGTTTCCATGTCCATTAACATTCTAGTGTCCAATAAAAGTCCCAAAATGAATGTGGATCCTACACAAGTCATGTGACTTAAACAAGCACCAACCGCTGCCATATTCATAGAGATGTCTGATGAGTAAGAGACAAAGACAAACAAATAATATAGCTTCACATGGTGACCTCACTGTGAATAGCCCAGGAACAAAGACCGAGTAGCAAATGCTTCAGCAGAAAAAATATGTAATACATAAAAAGTATACAAGAAAATGACACAGCTTGTCTATATAAACGGGTGTGTGAAACTTACCGGGAGTCACTTTTGTTCAAGTTGATGATGGCCGGGTGCAGAACCGTCTGGTTCCCATCCATCTCTACGACACATTTTGTCTTTAGCTCTTTTTCTGAAATAAAACAGTGAAAGAGAAAAAATATTTATTTTTAAATAACATTAAACATGCTTTTCTCTGTAGTACCATCATGTTGTTAATGAGTGAATAGTCCTAATAAATACATTTTTAAACCTACAAAATATGGTAAGTTAGTTGCAAAATGGCTCTCAAACTATCAAAATGTGCTGCTTAAAGAGTTCAAAGAGCATGTTCTGTATACACTGGTCATCATAACTTTCCCTAGTAGTCACTGACACAACTGTCATCCCAGAATAACAGGTGGCATACACTGTGTGTGTGTGTGTGTGTGTGTGTGTGTGTGTGTGTGTGTGTGTGTGTGTGTGTGTGTGTGTGTGTGTGTGTGTGTGTGTGTGTGTGTGTGTGAGCCCCTTGTGATTGCAACACATAAAGCCCGACATGGAGCAGGAAGTAGTGATTCACCCAGGACTTGCCTGTGCAAACAATACAACCCCTTTACAACTCTGAGCAGGCAGTAAGGAAAAGCAGCTACTCTTCCTCATTCCTACCTGCAGAGCAAGGCTTTTCAGGCTGAGACAGCACTGGAACTTCCTGTTAGAGCAGGAGTTAGGGGCACGTGTGTTGTGTGAGATTTTCCACTGTTACACTTAATGAGGCATATTTGTAGTTTTGCAAAGCCAATTGGAGAGGTGACATGAAATTAAAAGTAATGTTGTTGGTGGAAACAAATGTGTGTCTGCTGTAATGCACGACACTGCACGTGCATAACAGTCCCTTCACTGTAAGGATATGATGTCACTGTCCCTTCAATCTTTTTCCATTTCTACTCTAACAGCACTCCAGCCAAGACTTTTCCAAAGAAGGACAGCATGGACCTTTTCAGAGCCTCTCCAAAGAAAGGAACTCAAACTAAAAGAGCCCTTTTAAAGCTGGACAGAATTGTTGAAAAGATCTTTGTTGGGCACATGAAAACAAACCAATAAGTGTCTGTCTTTCGTGAATCATAACTGCTGAACATGTCACAACGTCTATCTGACATTAAACTCACCTCTCCTGTTCATTGGTCGCACACGAACAGCGACCTTTACATTGGAGTCATTCAGGCTGTCATCCATGGTGGCACCTGACCTGTGACAAATGAATGAATGGAAAATAACACATTTAGTGTTTTGCTTTTTTTAACTTGCTGAAGTTTTACTTACTACATTGAGTACATTCTAAATCCATAGTGTCCTTAAATCAAAATTAGATACGTGTTACGCCTGAACAACCAATATGTATACATAAACAAGCTAGTGTCCTACTTAATATAATACTATTCATGCGAAAACCATATCTAAATATCTAGTAAAAACGTTCATGATGACATAACAAGCTAAAATACAAGGTATACTGTAAAGAGAAGTGGACAAACCGTGTGAAAGAGTGCGCAGTTGTTTCCCTATCCGACTCCCACAGACACCTTGAAGTACTCTCAGCAGCTAGCCCGGGACGCTAACGAGAGCTGGATAACAGCAAACACACAGAGGGGTCAAATGTGTTTTATAATTACCCTTATGAATGTAACTAACCATGTTAAGTGTGCTAAATCACCTTGGTTTCTTTTCGTAAGTTTAAAAAAACACTTACGACACACGGTTCATTCCCTCGGCTCCTCCACCTGTTGCATTTCCTGAAACTTCCCTCAGTGATAAGTCAGTCCATGTCAGCTCGAGCTAAAGGGATTTGCTGTGAGATTTAGCGAGCCTTCCAAGTTCTCTAGTTGCGCTCTGCTCCGCACACACTGGCCCACTTGGTTTGAGGGTGTTCAGCGCCACTGTGTGGATCCACATGCATTACAAGTCTGTGAGATTTGTCCTAAACATGTTCAGAAAAACAAAGTAAAATATCCCTAATTAATGGTAATTTAGCTGTTACAGCTGTTATATAAGAGGGGGGGGGCTCTGTTTTGCCCTTGTGACATTTTTTAAATTCCAATAACACGCCGTTCGTTAGTGGAAAAGACCCATTTACGACTTTGTACGACAGTTTCGGTTGCCGTACGACTGAAGCCGTGTTTGGGAGCAACGTGGAGTTGTTTACTATTTCTGACAGCCTTCTCTGGTTAAAAACAGATGTAATTCTGCCTACAATCACCCACCCGTTGGAATTTGGACGGTCAGCCTCAAAGAAAAAATGGGGAAGCCAAAGAAAAAGAGTGAGTGTGTTAAATATACCTGAAATTACTTTCTAAACGGGTCTGGTCGGCTTTAGCTTGTTGCTAATGCTAACAAGTCTTCCCAATATTTTAAACATGATAACAGCGATATAACTTGTAGGCCAACTGCGTACATATTGTCATTGTAAAGGCGAGTTATTACAGTTATTGACAATGGGTTTCATAAACTCTAACGTTACTGTTGCTCAATAGCTACAAGTAGCTACATTACATCTACGTTGCATGTACCTGGATCTTTTAAATATGGCTTTTTGAACTCCATGCATCTGTATAAAAGTACTAAACTAATCTCATAGTATTGATCATCTTTGTTAGGTGATCTCAGCCGGGCTGAGCTGATGATGATGACCATTGCTGATGTCATCAATCAGCTGGTTGAAGCACATGAAGAGGGCAAAGATATTAATCTCAACAAGTAAGTATACAGCCCCTTGCTCAATTAAGTCCCAACTCTATACTACTCAAGCCTTTAGTAACTATTAAAGACAAGCTCTATGGATAAAAAACACATGCACAGAACAACATTTAAAGTTATAATTCATAATTAAATATGTGTCTTTCTATGATTCTGTTTTTAAAGAGTGAAGACTAAGACTTCAGCAAAGTATGGACTTGAATCCATGCCTCGATTGGTGGACATCATCGCTGCGGTTCCACCACAGTACCGCCGGGCTCTGGTGCCCAAACTGAAGGCCAAGCCCATCCGCACTGCCAGTGGGGTATGTTCAATTAGCTTGGGTCCACCAAATAAAAATCTCTCTCTCGGGCCCACATATATTTTGCTTTGGCTACAAATAGTTTGTATTCTGATTGACTTGATCTAATAATGTGGGAGGCTGTGGCTCAGGGGTAGTGCACTGATATCACAGGTGAGAGCAAGTTCGAATCCCACTGCAGTCAGCATGTGCAAGACATTTGACCCCTATTGCTCCTGTGGGGATTGGGCCCAGTACTGGTCAGCTCATTTCTCTCTCCTCCGTTGTCACCAACCTCGGTGTAAGGTTTGACCCCACTCTGTCTTTCCAAGCCCACATCAAACATATCACCAAGACCTCCTTCTTTCACCTGAAAAACATTTCCCGACTGAAGCCCTCACTCTCAACTGATGACATCAAAAAACTGGTTCATGCACTCGTCTTCTCAAGACTAGACTATTGCAATGCACTCCTCTCCGGTCTCCCAGCCAAATCCATCAACCGCTTGCAACTTGTCCAGAACAGCACAGCCAGAGTTCTCACCGGTACAAAAAGGTCCGCACACATAACCCCCATACTTGCAAAACTACACTGGCTCCCGGTCCACTACAGGATCCAGTTTAAGGTTCTGCTCCTCACGTACAAAGCCCTGAATGGACAAAGCCCAAAATACCTATGTGACCTCATCCATACCCAGACATCTACCCGCTCTCTCCGCTCCAGCCACGCTCCTCTTCTTCACATCCCCCGCACACGTCTCCGAACAATGGGAGACCGAGCCTTCTGCTCACTCGCCCTGCGCCTCTGGAACTCCCTTCCAGATCAGCTGAGATCTGCCCCTTCCACCGAGGTCTTCAAAACCGGCCTTAAGACCCTCTTCTTTCGGCAGGCCTTCCAATAAACTTTGAGCATGGTACACCTGGAGTACTGCCATTTTTTATCGCTATCACCGACTTTTATTTTTGTACTTTATTTTATATTTTATATTTTATTTTTTGATTTCTTCTTATTATTACAATTATTTGTTTAATCTATCAAAGTGTATTAGTATCCTTTGTTGTTAAGCACTTCGAGATTTGTCTTGGCAGATGAGAAGCGCTATATAAATTAAATGTATTATTATTATTATTATTATTATTATGTTAGTCACTTTGGATAAAAGCATCCAACATGTAATGTAGGCCTTAAGCTAAGGGAAATGCTTTGTGTTAAGAGTTTCAGCGTTTGCTTGTGTGATATTCTCTTTTTGGGTTATACTTCATGCTGTATCCATGATGCGTAATGACGCTTCTCTTATCTAGGAATGTGAAGCAATCTTTGTTTGTAAAGAAAGTCATGAAAATGTCAGCCTACTAAATAGTATTGTCAAAGTGTTTCCACACAGGTTATGTTCAGGAAATCACTCGGCTTAATCCTTGTCTTCTATCCAGATTGCAGTGGTTGCTGTGATGTGCAAACCACATCGGTGTCCTCACATCAGCTTCACAGGCAACATCTGTGTGTGAGTAACAATAGTCAGTGCAGATTTTATTTGTATTTTTTACTTGATCATTATGCACTGCTTGCAAGATTATGCTCATTTAAATGTACACCATTTCAGAACTTGGTTGCAAAATATGTAAATAAACATTAAAGATGGGATCTGGTTGTTATTGCTTATTAACAATGTGTTTTTCTTCTCTTTCTGTTTACCCTGGCAGCTACTGTCCTGGAGGACCAGACTCAGACTTTGAGTACTCCACACAGTCGTACACTGGATATGAGGTACGGTAGTTTCATTCTGCCTCAGGAGGCGAGTAAAGCTTTTTATATGTAGATTTATTCAAACAGTTAACACGAAAATATATGTCAATAATGTAAGAAAAACTCAATATGTAAAGAATCGGACAACAACCAAACACATTTCACATGAATAAAGTAAAATATAATTACAAAAGATAAAGATAGTAGAAGATAAACAAGACAGTGAATATATATCAATTGTGAAGGATATACATTGTAACAGCCATTTCAATGATGGTCATATTTTGGTTGAGGCTTCACCGTTGTGTGTTGTTCACTGTGTGTGCCATCGGGTGTCCCTGTCTGATTCCCTATGGCACCGGTATGTAAGGTGTGTGTTGTCACAGGAAAGGTTGTGTCTGAAATGGTTTTTGACCGCAGTGATTGCCACAAAGGCTTGTTTGTTAAGGCATTGAATACAAATTGACTTTATTATGCACAACAACAATACAATAAATGGATTGTTTTATTGCGCACCTCAATAAAAGCTACCGATTCATGAGTAAAACAAGTAAAGCGCGTAAGCCAAGTCATCCCCGGGAGTTAAAACACCATAGTAGCTCTAGTATTATATCTATTGAATAAACAATATAAATATACAGAATTGTGTTAAATCAAAGTCCTTTTTCTGTAGTTGTAGTTTGACTTTAGGTATTTTATTTAAGTCTTGTTTTTTTGTCCCTTTCTCTTTCTTATAGCCAACGTCCATGAGAGCAATCCGAGCCCGCTATGACCCCTACCTCCAGACCAGACATCGAGTGGAGCAGGTCAGTGTTACTCGAATTCCTTCTTTTTTTAAATCATTTTTGTTAATGGTTCATGAATGCACGGCCTTTTACACAGAAACTCATTTCATGCAGGGACACAGCAGCCTCTGTTTCGTACATACCATTTGATTTACCTGAGGTTACTATCCAAAGTCTCTTGCAATAAGAGCAGTACACCATGAAGAAACACACTCTAAACCGCATGAATCCTGCAAGTACATTAGCCATTAAATAAGCCAAACTTTGAGAATAGCACTTTCTTTATCGGCCACCTTGGGGTTAAAACAGGTGGGATTTGTCTTCCTCTGCCATATCCTCAAATCAGCTTCTGTGCACTGATCTTCTTTACTTGAATACACGTTTAAATCATACCCATTTATAATACATTTAGTATAGAGTCATGAGTGTCATGGCTTTTACCCTCCTGCTGAGACCTGACCCTAATTATGCCATTATTTAAATGCAGTGCTACATTATTACATGCAGCAGAGCAAAGCCATCCATTAAAGCAACAGTTGATGTAAAGATATGTGCCATCTGAATTTAGTTTTGGCTGGTCGGTCTTATGTGTAATCGTTGTTTTAAGTATGACTCCAATTTGATATGAAAGATATTAATATATAATCGATCAGACCTATTCATGTAGAAAACTTTACTGACAGAAATGCTCAGTCTCATTGCCACGGCATTGTTATTCGTTATACTAACAAACTGCATGCGTTGTCTAATACGGTGTGCAATTCATCTAGTCACTTATTCGGTTGTATCAAAAACAGAATTCAATATAGATTTGTATTCCTTGTTTTTTTGTTGCTAATGTTATCTTTTCGTGATGTATTGATTGCTGTATATGAGGAGTGTGAATCTTTCAATATCTCAAGATTAGATTCGAATTCAATTCTGGATGTTGAAAAAGTAACGCTAATGCTAGTAGCGCTTGGAAAGGTGGGGTTGCAAAGTATGGCATGAAAGCAGAGTTAAGTGTGTATTACGTTATGCAGTTTTTATGTTTGATATTATCGACTATAAAAACGTCATTCATGCTGAACTTGCTCACACATGCTGGAAGTTGGGAATCGTTTCAAAATCTTCCCAAACCTATTCTATCTGTATTTGTATTTACTATGGAGGTTCTGCACATGACGAGTTGACATAGGTACATACATGCATTTTCTAAAAGTGCAAAGTCATTTGACACTTATCTGGATTGTTGCAAGGACAGAACATGATATATTATTTGTATGAATTAAATGACCACGTTTCTAAAAAGAAAATCCACTAGTTTTCCATAGTTGATGATGAGGTTTTCCATATCAGCTGGTTAAAGTATCACCTGCAGGTTTCTGACTTCTTTTATTCAAAGTTCTCACCAACAGTGTTCTCAGAAACGCAGTGAAAAGTATAGCGCTGATACATGGTTGTTTACCTTCTACTTTTAAGACT